AGAGTGAAACCCTGTCTCAAAAAAAAAAAAAAAAAAAAAAAAAAAAAAAAAAAAAAAAAAAAAAAAAAAAAAAAAAAAAGTAAAAACAACTTAATAATTTGAATTTCATCATTTTTTAGTATGTAACTTTAAAACCACAGAATATATAGTAATATTTCTGAGAAATAATCCCTTTCTGAGGCAAGAATTTAGATCATACAGAGGATACAACTGCTAATCACTAGAAATAAACTGATGACAACTATGTGAATTATTTATTACTTTAATGCATCGCGATACATTAACTCTCTTTCATAATTTCAGAAAATAGAAATAAAATATGATCATGTGACGTAAGGCAGTATGGAAATCCACATAAATGCATAAAATTGTAAATTTGCCAAGAGAGTTAGACAAGGGGAGTAAAAAGGCCTACAAAATTTACAACTCTTTAAGTGCTTTTAAGCCATAGATGATTATTAAAAATTATATTGTCTACTGGAAAAAAGAATATGTATTTACAAGTTCCCCACTTCTGTAAATCAGTTAAAGGAAAAAATCTCATGAAGGATGGGGTACCTTTGCTTTAATATCTTATGGTAGTAGGTGACATTGATGAATGTATCTATGGACGAATGATCCTGAAATGTAACATCTCATGACCTGCAGGTGTTTCCACACTCCCTTCCCCTTGCTTGGGGGTTGCAATTGCTCTTGCAGTGTGCCTGTGAATTGTACATCTTTGCTAAAACTGAATCTTGCCCCTTTCACATACCTTGCTATGTGCCAGCACGATTTCCTCCACAGCCTTGTGTCGCTGTCTTTGTCTTGAAGTTGTGACTCAGGACATCTAGAAAATATTCCTTTCTTCAATTCACTTCCTCATCTTTCCATTGCCTTAATTTCACATACTTTAAAGCGATTCAGTTTTCTGAAAGTTGTCCCATCTAGTCATATGTCAGATGAAGTAGAACTGAGTCCTGATTGCCTTAACAGGTTATATAAATATGTTTTAGCAATTTGCACTTTTGTGATCAACTAATTTTTTTGGTTTTAGAAATATTCAGCCTAATGAGTTTGCATGGGAATTCAGGAAATAGTGTAAGATTTGGAAATCACTTGCTTTATAGACATGTCATTGCACCAAAATATGGAATTGTTTTGGAAATTACTGTTGCTTCTTAGCTTACATCAGGAAACTCCTAAGCCCCTGGCCATCTGTGGAAACAGGCCACAGAACAGGAGGTGAGTGATGGATGGGTTAGCAAGCATTACCACCTGAGCTCTGCCTGCTGTCAGATCAGTGGGGACATTAGATTCTCATGGGAGAAACACCCTACCATGAACTATGCATGCAAGGGATCTAGCTTGTATACTCCTTATGAGAATTTAACTAAAGCTTGATGATCTGAGGTAGAACAGTTTCATCCTGAAACCATCCCCTGCATCCTCTGCCATGCATCTGTGGAAAAATTGTCTTCCATGAAATCGGTCCCTGGTGCCAAAAATGTTGGTTTATTAGTCCGTTTTTACACCCTTGATAAAGACATACCTGAGACTGGGTAATTTATAAAGAAAAAGAGGTTTCATGAACTAACAGTTCTGTGTGGCTGGGGAGGTCTCACAATCATGACGGAAGGGGAAAGGCACTTCTTACATGGCAGTGGCAAGTGAGAATGGGAACCAAGCAAAAGGGTTTTCCCCTTATAAAACCACCAGATCTCGTGAGACTTATTCACACCACGAGAAAAGCATGGGGAGACCACCCTATGATTCAATGATCTGCCACTTGTTCCCTCCCACAACATGTGGGAATTATGGGAGCCACAAGTCAAGATGAGATTTGGGTGAGGACACAGCCAAACCATATCAGTTGGGGACCACTGGCTTGTAATGCGAGTCTGGTCAACATCAAATATTGGATATAATTTCATATTTTAAAATTCATTAGAGATGTATTAGACTCTAATATATATATGAAATTGTTAAGAACAATATCATTTCTTCTTCAACTATGATATTATATTAAGAAACTATCTGGAGTTTTGCCTTTCTGAAGAATATTTAAACATCATTTATTTTTATGGATATGTTCCTTGAACTACATTTTTCACAATTGCAAATTGAAAACTTAAATAACATTGCTTTGCTATTATGTTCAAAATAAATGTACTTGTTTTATTTAATTTTCTAAAGTTAGGCAATGACTAGTTGACAGGGAATTTAAAATTATTTCATATGGAAAGACTTGACTTTCAAAAACCTATGTATTAGGTTGGTGCAAAAGCTATTGTGGTTTCTGCCATTACTTTAAATAGTAAAAACCCCAATTACTTTTGCATCAACCTAGTAGTTATCTTTATTCATGTTGAATAGTTGGTACTTTCTAGAAGAGAAGCTTGTTTTTAGAGTTAAAAGTTTTATATAAATTCACCTACTCTCAACTTGAACCTTTATTATTTTTCATCATTTATTTTGCAAAATATTTATGTGATATAAGCACATGAAGTTGTTTTTGTTGTTGTTGTTGTTGTTGAGAATTTGATGTTTGGCCCTACTCCTTATGGACTTTGGCTACTTGATGTTAACCTTGAAAGCTGTAGTCACAAGTCAAAGCTTGAAAGAAGGGTAGCTTGGATAAGTGAGTGGAATAGAATAGGCTTAAATTAAAGAACGGGGCATGCTGCATGAGAAAGCTGAGCTCTCCAGGATTAGCTGCAAACTGCAAGGAGGAAAACTGGGACGTGCACCATTGGTGCTGGTGCAGGTGGGGTGGGGAAGGGAGTCATCAGGCATTCAGGCATTACAATACGATCTCTAAAGATTTCTTTCCACATATTTATCTGTTCCATGCACATTTGTGTGCTTTTTAGCTGCTAGGCTCTTGGGACATTTTGGTGAATAACGGTCCAGAATGTGCCCTCAGGAGTTTAGAGTCTACTGGAGGAGTCATGCAAAAAACAGATAATAACTGCATACATTAAATAATGAGAAATTAAGATTGCTGCTATGACAAGAGGATAAAGGAGGAGAATATCTGAGAGACTCACCTGAGAAAAATTTTCTCTGCTGAGGCTACTTTGGTCAGAAGCATAAACGTTAAATCTATAAAGAACTAGAGGGAATGACAGCTGTCCTTAATGAGAGGGCAAGAATGGGAATTAAAGAGGCAGTAGTAACAGGTGGACCAGTAGACCAGGTGTCTGGAATTCAGGGAGGGAGAGGGACCATCAGACTGAAATGTACACATTTAAATCCTTAAAAAAAAAAAAAGAGATTTTTTTTTAGAAACAAAAACGTTTATTATTCAGACCTTTTTCAAAATCTGTAAACATCTTTAAGTCTCAATAGTTATGTGTCATCATAAAAGAGACTTTAAAACCCTTCAAAAGTCAAGCTTTTACACTAAGACATTTAAATGAAAACAAGCCGTTTCCCAAATCTACAACCCACAAGTTAAATGCACTGACCTGTCAATCTATGCAAAGAACAGTTTTCTAATAAAAGACTGCTTTATCATAAGACGCATAATTCCAGGAAATTTCCTTTAATACTCTCATCTGTCACTTTCTTTAAAAGTCTTTCTTAAATTAAAAAAAAAAAAAGAATCTGTCGCTGAAAGCAGCGAGATCTAAAGTGAATACATTTAAATTGGATGATACACACAAGCATGCTCCTCCCAGATCTGCAGGAAGAAAATGAAGCAACTTATGCAATGAATTAAAATGCTTGTCACTTAGTGGATTCCGGACAGAGGGCAGTCTTTAAGACCCAGCGATAGTATTTGTCTGGAGAGGAAATGTTGCTTTTTGACAGATGAGAGAAATCCCCTTAGTGTTGGCTGTGGGAAGAGAGAAGCGAAGTCAGTCACCTGGTGGTGAAGGCCAGTAAAACAGCGAAGCAGGAGGAAAATTTTTCTCTCCCTCTCTTTCTCTCCCTCTCCCTCTTTTCTCTCCGTAGGATCCACCTCCTATTCTCTCAACTCTTTTAGCATAACCTTCAAAGGAGAACGTTCCCTTCTGACTTTATTATCTTCTTTTCCCTACTGAGAGAATACCTCTCAGCTGCAAGACATTTTTTAAGTCTATGCAGGACTTCGGGGATTCTGTTATCTTGCCAGGGAAATTGATCATTGCTAATGTCTGGGACTGGAGCTAAATTAGCTAACAGAGTAAGCCTGGCGGAGGAAGGCTTTTATCATACACTCTTCTCTTCAGTTTTAACACATTTGCTTGAAATTTGCCGCATGATGCTGACCAGGGAAGCAGCTTTTTTTCTCGGGATGCAGCAATTCGCTGGTTTCTAAGCTTATTGCAGAAGGAGAAATAATCTTAGAGTGGATATTTTTTTTCCTTTGGCCCCTACTTCAATCGACTCAGCTGTGTTGCACCGCGGTACAGATCACCTGTCACTAAATCTTTGAGGAAGTAAAACAAAGTGAATTATCATTATTATTTATTTATCTTCCTTATTTTTAACCCGGTGGAGGCGGCGTGACCACGGAGAATGAGACTGAGAGGAGCTGCCGGGGCTTGGAGGAGGATAAAGCTGAGTTTAAGCTGGAAACTAAAAGACTAGATTGCTTTTGGCTGCGCCTCGCCCGGTTCCTCTCCACTTCGTTTAGTTGCGCTCCATGGACAGATCAACGAACCTGGACATTGAGGAGCTCAAGGTACGTGCGGGTCCGGGCGGGCGTCGCGGCCGCTTCTCCGCGCTCCCGGCTCCCCCTCTCCTTCCTTCCCGCTGTTCCTCCCGCGCCGTGGAGTAGTTGGGGGTCCCGCGGGACGGCGAGGGGGCCAAGGGGGGACGCGCACCCGGGCGCAGGCGTCCCTCAAGGGGCCGAGGACGCGGAGGGCGGCTCTCCCGAGCCCGGCTGCACTCCCGGGCTGGGCGCCCTCCCCGCCTGCTCCTCCCGCCAGCGGCCACCCCGTCCTCCTTCTGGTCCGTGACAGCAGCATTCAGGGTGCAGACCCTGCGCCTCGTGCGGGCTTGTCTCCCCCGGGGAGGCAGCGGCACTAGCGCTGCCGGCTGTCTCCTGCTTTCCCAGCAAAGTTGTCGGAGCTGCGCGGCCACTTTGCCTCTTCTCCCCGGCTCCAATCCCGCCCGTGCCCCCGCCCGGCACGGGGACAGAGCATTTCCGCTCGGAGGTTCGCGTGACAGAGGCGTCTGCAGCGACAGCCCGTTTTTATCCCAGAACTTCGTGAGATCCCTTTCCCCCTGCTCCCGCGGGCACGGTTTCCCCACGCAGTTGCAGTGCAAGGGCCGGAGAGGGGCCCCGGTGCCCGGGCAACCAGCTGCCCCAGCCCCGGGTGTGGGAGCGGGTCCGGGGACTCGGGCAGGGGGCGGGGAGGCGGCAGTCGGGCTGGGAGGGGCGGCATCTGCGGAGGCTCCAGCCTCACTTGGTCCTCGACCCGCCTGAAGCCCCCCTCCCCCGCCGCTCTGCGGGGTCCCCTCGCCGCGCTCTCGCCCTCCGGGGTCCCGGCTTGGCCGCGAGGGCCTGCCCAGCGGGACCACCCAGGGCAACAACACGCTCCTCTGCCTGTGGGCACCGCTGCCTGCTTCCCTTCCAGAAAAAAATAAAAATAAATATGTATATAAAACAAAAACTTTAGAAAACCCAGCAAACCACAAAATACTTTGAATGTCCCGCTCACTGCAAACGAAAAAGCGGGAAAGGGGGCGACACTGGGAGCATATCTTCTATTCAAATCCTCCACCCTTCTTTACCCCTAGACATCTGGTACACTTTACTATTTCAGAGGTTCAGACGGATTCTGTATTCTTTGATCAGGGAGAACGTCTGAGCATCCTCCCACCCGCTGGAGAAACTTGACGAATAGAGCTTTGCCTTCGTCAAGGAAATGGGTTTGTCCGGCAAGCTAGGCAGACTGCAAAATCCCCTGCAGAGCGCCAATGCCTCTGTCTGCAGCCTGTCCTGTTCCCTGGCCAGGGGGCACGCTGCGTGCCCAGTTCTCCGGGCACCCCAGACTGCATAGATGAGCAAGGATGGAGGAACAGAGAGCAGTGGCACCTGCTAGAATCGCTCTGCCACTGACCTTACATGCAGTCCAGGGCGGAGGGAGTACAGTCAGAAGACCTAGAATTCCATTTCCATCTAAGACTGAGTTCTTGGAGGAAGGGAAGTAAGGAGGAGACAAATTTGATGCTTCATTTAAAGTTGGCCAACAACAAGTTTCTGTGTTTTTGCCAAGGTCATAGTCAGTGGACCTTGGCCTGGACTAGAAGTTTCCTCTTATCTCTCTGCTGTATTCAGATAGGACAAATTGCCTTTGTGTTTGCAAAGATTCTCTAGTGCTTTTTCCCAAGCATCCCAGTCTCTTGGGAGAAGGGGTGGGTTTTATTTGTGATGCAAGAATAATGTTTGAAAATGATTGTGATCTGTATTTTATGCAGAGGTGGGGTATCCAGATTATTTTTTGGGTGCCTCTAAGGTATGACACAGAAGAGAGCGTTTTCTTAAGAGACATGGAAGGGAAAAATGATTTGGGGCGTTTCTTTCCCCTGAAATCCCATAAGTTTCCTACCTTATCCTACTCTGAACCCCAGTGCCACTATATCATTGTTTAAATCAACTAAAGAGCAAACCCACTGGGGAAACTTCTGCCTAGTATTAGTAGAAGATCTCAGCTTAATCTCACTACTACTGCACGAATAATCCAGAGTTTCTCATAGCCAGAGTGTGCTGGACTTAGTGCCTTGGCAGCAGAAGGTAGAGAACTGGAAAGGCTTGGACATGAGGGGATGTGTTGGCAATGACGGACTCAGAATAAAGGAAGGCATGTTAGATGCAAAGATCTATTGAGGTTGTCGAGAAATTATGTCAAGGACAAGCTACTTTAGAGAGTCCAAAGTGGCAAGTGAGGAGATGAAGTCAAGCCTTATTAGAAAATGTTTGAGATCCTTCAGTTCCGGGAATAGATTTGTGTTGTTAGTTTCGACTACGCTTCTGGAATACGAAGGCTATGGAATACTTACCTTCTGAAATATATACACTTTGTAGAGTTGGACGCAGTGCACGTGAAATAACTTGTCTAGATTTCTTCTTAACAGTAGAGTCGGTTGGCCTGGTTTTCTAGACATCCCAGTTCAAGTTATTCTCTGGTGGCTCCTTGCTGAAGAGCCTCCCAGGGTGATCAGTGGAGAGAGAAAGAAAAAAGCTGGGATACTTATTTTTGGCATTATTTGCATTTTGACTTTTCTTCCTGTGATCTAATAATACATTAGGACACATCCACTTGCAACTTTGGTTTTTATGATGCTTTAAATACACAGAAAGTGTTTTCTAGGGCTTGATACATAACTAAATGTGCATAATAGTATAAAATACAGCTTAGCTTAGTTTTAGATGATTAGTGTCATTGTTAGGTGAAGCTGCTTACCTCGGGTTTTAAGAAACAAAGATTCTGATAATTTATCCTTCTTTGGGGTAAACTATTGTTTCTTTATGAAATTTTAACAAGTTTTTTTGGCTGGGCTGGGTGTGGAAACTGATTTTTTTTAATATGCTGTACAGTGTAAATAATGTTGTCTTTTGCAAGCTGTTAAACTAAAGATAAGCTCTAATCATTGTTAAGCTATTGCTGCCATTACCATAAAACTAAACATAATATGCAAATTAAAGGATTTATTTGGTGGCAAACTGAAATACAGTTATGTGTGTAAAACTTGCTAATGAAGGTAAGTACGTTTCATCGTCTGTTCTGCCCACAAACTCCTGATGAAACAGATCAGTCTTGAAAAGGGAAAGAGTTCTCACCCAAAGAATGTGTGTATTCTTTTTCCTTTGATCTCTGTTTCTCTCTCCAATGAATGTATAAACTTTACTCTGGATTTTGTCCTGGTGTTTACTTTAAAGAAGAAACAACATCAAACAATCCAAAATATGGGTTGTGGTTTGGAAACGTGGGTGTTAATGAATACTGATATTAGAAAAAGCCCCCTCCATCCTGGAATGTTTCTGAGTTAGAGTCCTGGGTACCTTTTAGTAGTTGAGATTAAAAGTGCTAGCTTTAGCCTTTATTTTAGCTCCATTATTGCTCTCTTTTAAATAGTCGATCTTATGCACTGGAACGGAGACTACTAAATTTTACAGCTGACACTTTGAAAGAGACATTGAGGCTGAATAAACGTTTATGATTAAGTCTACGACTTTGTTGATTCTTTTACTCAGCTTTTAAAATAAGGGTACTAAATCATCTGTATTAATTAGGCAATTAAGTTATGCTTTCAGATGCTAAGAATGTATTTGTGGATAATTGTTACTTGCTTGGGGATCAAAAACATAAAATACATCCAGAGTATAGTATAATTGTTTGCAGTCATGTTAGATCCTAGCTTATATTTATTTATTTGTCAGGATTGTTCTGTTAGTGCGGTGACTGGAAGTTAAATTAGGTTTTTTTCTACTACTTGCAGAACATGAACAGTGTGCTTCTGGAATATTTTCTTAGCATTTTGCAGGTTACAAAAATTATAAACTACGTACTGAATCTTGAGACACATAAAACAACTTTTCAATAAGGATAATCTTACTTATGTGAGTTAATTAAATGCAGTCCAGTCACTATTGCTTAATTTTCTCTGTTTGATTTAACCAACATTTCATCTACCAAGAACTTAAATCTTGCCCTAGATAGGTCAGAAAAAACCTTCCCTGAATAATATAATTAGGTCATTAAAGTATTGTATGGGTGAGAAATGATAATCCAGCAAAAATATACATAGGTATTTAGATAAGAGATTTATTCAAAAATGCTGAGGTCTTAAAGCAATATCGTAGTACATTCACGTAAAATTTCAATCAAATAAGAGTTGGCACTTAGAAAAATTCTAATTTTTTTTTCTTGGTTTGTTTCGTCAATAAGACACTCAGCCCAGGAAAATCAAGCTTGCTGCAGTGTAGGAAGCTTTCTGATGAAACTAAGTAGGTGGTATTTTCTTATGTTAGTCATTCTATAGTGAAAAATAGTACTCTCTAACAAATGGCATATTTTTAGCAACCTGCCTTATGTATTCATTTCTTGGCTGAGAAAGACAAAACATATTTGTGAATACTGCATTATTTGACTTGTTTCACATCTAAAGGAACTTCTTTTCCTCTGGGTCTAGTTCCAATTTTCTTTACATAATAAGAACTAGCCACAAAGACTTAGCAACATGTCACCTTCATTTGACAAATTAATATTATTTGAAATTGATAAACTACCATTGCATACATTTATGGGTTACATTGTGATGTTTTAATATATGTATATTATGTGGAAAAAATTAAATGAAGCTAATTAACATATTAATCACCTCACTTATGTTTTGTGCTGAGACATTTGAAATGTACCGTCTTAGCTGTGTGTGTGTGTGTGTGTGTGTGTGTGTGTGTGTGTGAGTATAGTTGAATTTTTAATATTTGGAAATAGAGTTGTTTAATTGAAGCTGAAATTAACTTTAAGGTACAGTAGTAAAGTATTTCTTATATCATTAGGATGGATGAAAGAACATATTTGATATGAGTGGAAAAAGAATTAAGAAAAATATATTTGAGAGAATTTGGACAAATGACTATTTTAGAACTCTTCAGTAGTCTACTGTCATTACTAAGTATATGTTCCAACCTATATGCTGGCTATTACAGTTTTGCTGATCTCCAGAGTTTAC